AACTTCCCTCCCCAACCCTCTCTGTTATCTTAGGATATGGTCTCCATGTGGAACTATCAAAATCTGGACTCAATTTCCAGCTCCACCTCTCATCATTTGTAAGTTACCTACACTTTCTATAGCTCAATTTTCTTAACTCTTAAAGTGAGACTAACATTAGTACCTACCTCATATGGCTTTGTGGAATAAAATTGAGATAGTTAATTTAAAGCACTTAACATAGTACCTGTGGTATAGTAAGCACTCAATAAGTTTTAGCTGATATTACTATTACTATTTTTATTTATTTCATAAAATAGTTAGTTATGATTTTGATTTATTAAAATGAAAGTACAAACCCAGTAGAAATTCTTGTATTTTCAAATGTCGTTATTGAAAATAACATCACTGCTTCTGCGTTATCATTTTGCTTAAATTTCTACAAGTTTAAGCATCATTAGGGAGCACACATAGCATAATATCATAAATCCTATGGGAAGAGCAAAGGTTTGCTTGTATTTTTTTCTTTTTCTTTAGGGAGGAGGTAAAACTCATTAAATTCTTAAAGGTAATTACATTTTATGTGGTAACCTTATTAAGATATCTTTATTAAAGTTATGAAATGTGATCTGAAGGCAAAGAGATAGTGGTGTAAAGTAAACTATATAGAATCACATCTTAGCAGTCAAAATATTTAGCTTACATTCAATTATTTGGAAACTGATCAAATTTTTGAGATACCAAATTCCTTTATTTTTCTTCATCCTTCACTTCTGCCTACATTGTGTCCATTTTTCAACTTACTTATATATCCATCATGGGAAAAAGAGGGCAAAAAAGGCAAATTTATTAATATAGTTATTTCTTAGCAGACAGGAAAAAAGTGGAGAAAAGGTTACATTGTAATGATAGATCCAGTGCAGGTCACCTACTTTGCCAATGTGGGGGAGCTACAATTCCTCTGCCTTCTAACTAATTGAGTTAGCTGATATGTTTTGAAAACGGTGGCACACTTAATCTTTAAAACTCTTCATCACAAGTGACTGAATGATCCTGGAACAATTGAAACCATTTCTTCCCCTATAAAAATACATTGAAGCTTTTACACTAAAGTAAATTTTCTAATATTATTAAAGCTAAAATATTTTTCAGCCATATCAATTTATTAGCTATTTTTATTCATTGCTGTTGTATTCAATATACAATTCATTATATCAAACAAATATAAATCTAGGTAACTCAAAAGAAATAGACCAAACTTATTCTATTAACAATAATAACAACAACAACCAAAACCTATGCAGAAATTTAAAAATTACATGGAACATTTAATTGGAAATATTAGGCACTATGTACTTAAATAAATATATGTAGAGAGAAGAAGGCAGCAAAGGGATCTAAGACGTTACCTACTGATAGACAAACTATACAAAAGAACAATGGCCAGACTATTTAGAAAAATAGAACTCTGGCCCACGACCTGGGGCAACCTTCCCAAGAAGTGGATCCCCTCATGTACAATAAACAGCACAGAAAGCCAGCATCCTGTAAGTCAGATTTGCAGAAAGTTAGATTGCTATATCTAGTAACAATCCAGGAAGCTAAACAATACCATCTGTTCCAATCAGCCCCAAATGGTCAGAACCTGATTAATAACTGACAGCTTCCCTAATTTTTGTCCTTGCTTCCAACTTAGGACCAACCAGAGAAAGCCAAATATGCCCCCCTAGCCACCCACTTCTAGTTAGCCCTTCTACAGCTTCCCCAGGCCAGCAGCTTCCAATCAGGGCATACCTGAAGCCTTTCCTTTTTTCCCTTTAAAGCTTTTCTACTCCTCTGCTTGCCTTTCAGTCTCTGCCAGAATGCAAGTGACCACAGCTGACTGCCTTGCTATAGCAATCACTGAATAAATAGCTTTTGATTTTCTCATTTGGTTAATCTTTATTTATTTCTACACTATTGAACATCTACTACAGGTCTATCAATAGGCAACATGCTTATATACACTAAAAAAACTTCACATATTCTGTAAAAAAACTTTTTAAGCCTCATTTTACTGATATAGAGAACTGAAGTTTGTAAATGTTAAATAGCTCCTCATGTTCTCCTACTTATATCAGGCTAGATTAAGTGCTTTTAGTATACTATTTTTATAAAAAATATTTGAGATAATATTAAAAGTATGTCTAACAAGAATAACATCAGCTATTACTTGCATTTAAATCATCAATTTTCTGGGCAAATATTGACATTGCATTTTGAATTGACTCATTGCTTTAAAGTTACAATTTATCAAGATACATATGGAATATAAAATATTCGAAAGCACTATAGAAGATAGAAGTTATAATTATAGAAGAAATAACTTCTATATTTGGTATTAGAACATATCAGAAGAAATAATTTCCTTGCCAAGTAGTGACTGCATAAACTGGATTTTCATAGACAATGGACAGAAGACCTTATAAGAAAGTGTGATTATTTATGATATATAATACTGACAAGAAGAATGTAAAAATGAAATTTGGCTGATTCTAAAAAGAAGGTAATAAAAATTTATTTGTATGGCAGTACAGATACTCTGTAAATTTTAAAGTTAATTTTTAAGTTATTCTCACATAGGATAAGTACTATCGTATGTTTTTCAAAAATAAGTAAACAAAGTTATAGAGATATTCAGAACATTACCTAAAGCTTCTCGGCTAGTGAGCAGTGGAACCTTGTTCAAAAATCACTTTAAGATGTTCCCTTAGCACATAATTTGGCCACGAACCTAAAGTAATTTATTTACTAACTATAAAATAACATAACTTGGCCTTATAGAAAAGGAGTAAAAAGGACATTTACAAATATTAGAACATGACATAAAAGTTACATAAGCTAGATCAAAAATTTAGGACAATACAGATGATTAATAAGGCTTTTTAATGCCTGAAAATAAAATAATATTTAAGCACAATTCCTTTCCAAGGACTGAAAAGGTAAAAAGGATTTTATAGATAACACTGTTTAAATAATATGTGGTGTAAGAAATGACTAAAGGTCAAGTAAGTTCTTATGTAATTTCTGCTTTGTCTCATTAATTCCATTTGGTTTCCTCAAATCTTTATTAAGAATTCCTTGCGTTGGGCATCATAAATTAAAATACAAAAAGTTGGAATTTGTGAATTTTTGTAAAAAATAAAAGATTCAAGCTCTTGGCCTTTATAGCATATTTAGTTAAGGAAGAAAAACTACTTTCTTGAAATTTCACTGTTGTAATCAAAAGTAATAAAAGTGTCACTTAAAATTATAAACACAAAGGTATAACTTGGTCATTTTACAAAGTGTATGCTGGGGGGAAGTGTCTTCTTTACACACCTTAAAGACATTTCTTTCTCCCTCCCACCCATGAAAGAATGGTATTCATTATCTATCAGTTGATTTAATTTTTAAAACTTTCAGTTATCTCCTGTCCACTGGGCATATGACACAATCGTCAATTTGGGCTGTGATGACATATTTTACATAGAAAAGAAAAATTAACCTAGGTCTTTATCTTTGCTCTTTCTATACCAGACCTTCTAAATGAAGGTAGTTGGGCAAGAAGTGTGGGGCAGTTTGGGGGATGCATTTTATAAGGAAATCACCCAAGGAATTTTCCAAGCGAGACAAGTGCCAGATACTGAGGTTGATACCAATGAAAACAGTTACATCATGGAAATAACATGTTCCAATAACTTTTAAGCAATAGCATAGTGTAGTAGAGCCAGACAGCTTCCGTGAAAATCCTGCTCTTCACTGGCTAGCTGTGTGACACCAAATGGCCTGTCTTCTCTGTGGCAAGTTTCCCCATTGTAAGATGTGAATAATAACAATACAACCTCACAGGGATGTTTTAAGGATTAACAGCATCAATATGTGTGTTGGATAGTAAATGCTAGGTGAATATTACTTAATTTATGCTGTCATTATGAAATAAAGAAAATAACTTCATTTTAGAGAATGAGCAGCAAGTTGAAAATTTTCTTATGCCAATGTTCAAGAGAAATAGGATGCTGCTTGTTCTATTAGCTATGACAATGTTCTTAGATGGAGAAGGAGACTAAGAGGAAAGAATTGCTTTCTAGAAAACAATTGAGCATCAATATTTATGTCTTACCAATGAAAGAAATTGATTACAGACATAAATTTAGTGCTTCTCCATGCTCCGTAATGGCCCATGAATACTTGATTACGGCACATGTCATGCTGAACTCTGTCTCTATATCCATGTAGCTCTTTCACTAATTTGGACTCTTCCTGAAGGCAGAAGTTATATTAAAACCCTTAGAATCTCAAATACATACTAATAATTCACACGTTGAATGAATGATGAATGAATTTTTAAAAAATAAACAAATAGATGGATTTGACATATGTCAGAGAAAGAATGGCATTCATATAGAGTGGATTTAGTATTTTAAATGAAATGTAAATTCCTTCCAGAAGCTTCTTTCAAAATTTAAACCTACATCTTAGAAATAATTCCGTAGTTCTCTCAACATGATTGATTTAGTTCAAAGGATGACACAGTTTTCTGTGTTTCTACTTCAACTTGACAGAAAATATTTAATGTTTCTTAAATGAGTGAGAGAGGTACTTTGGCTACTTCTTGACTAAAGTCATATCATCTTTTAAAGAAAGAAAATAGAAAGCCTACTTGGTAAGAATTACTTATTTATACACACATACAGTTTTAATAGTTTGAGAAGGTTTTTAAAAATAAAGATTTTTTTTTAACTAACTTCGATGAGGGTAATATTTCTTCTTTTGAAATCTTGATGATATTTCAGAGTCCATAGTGTATTGTCCATGCTTGCCTTCCACAATTAACTATTTATGGCAAGCTTGGCCCATCTTTTGTGGGTATGGTTTGTTTTTAATCTAGGAATCACAATGATTTGAGCTGTATAATTATTTTGAAATTTTATGCTTACCATCTATTTACATGATTTTATTTCTCAGAAATAGTATGGTACTTGTATATAATTACTTCTTACCCTATTTGAGTCAATTCTTGCTCTGGAAGTATAGATGGGAGGTGGGATGTTGAAAGCCTGAGGGACCAGATATTCCTCAGCATCCATCATATCTTCTAAATCTTCTTCATCCAAGAGATTCTGAAAGAACTTGCTGTCATTTGGACTGGGAAGCTTCATGCGATCATCACCCTAAAAGATTGCCCGTCAGATACACACAAAAAATGATCTTTCTCTTCATCTTAAATATATAGTCTCTGCAGCAAATTTATGTAATAACAAAACATATGGTTGAAAAATTCATGCACTTATTTCAAAAAATAATTCTTTTGCACAGCTACCAGCCATAAAGAAACCTATAATATGCCCAGATATGACAGGTTAAGATAAGTAAACTTAATACAAGAAGAATGTGACCAATGCCATTAGAAAGGAATAAAGCAGAATGCCTTGGATGTTTTGAGGGAGGCAAAATCCATTTCAGATCTGAAAATAATGGTTTATTGCCCTGATGGCATATGGGTTGAGACTTTAAGAATAAATAATAAAGGGCAATAGATTTATCAATCTTTATTTTATTTTTTATATTTATTTTTTATTTTAATTTATCAGTATACAGTGTAGTTCATTTTCGTGTCCCTTTACCAATTCTTCCTTTTCCCTCCCCCCTCCCCTGAACCCCTGACCTTGGTGTGATAAGGCTGCGCTCTAACCAACTGAATGACTTGACAGCCCCTCAATCTTTATTTTATCTGGTTGGTTTGATGCTGTTGAGTTTTCAGGACACACAGGCTCCATGATTTGTCCTTTAGTATCATGGCTATATAATCAAAGTGGTGGCATTCAAAATCACAGCACAAGTGACAAACAGAACAAAGGGTATTGGAGAGACACCAAAACCCTTGTTAAACTCTTTGTCATCTCATCTATTTCTTAAATGTTTTTTTTTATTTTTTGAAAGTTATGTGATTTTTTTTGTAAAGAATTTCAGTTCATGAAAGTTCATTTGGGGGAAAAAGTTCTAAATCTTGGCTTTTAGGTTGTCAGTTTGTTCAGCTGGTTAGGGTTAGTGCTGATAACACCAAGGTCAAGGGTTCGGATCCTCCTACCTGCCAGCTGCCAATGGAAAAAATAATATATATGGTTTTTATATCTTCATATCAGTCTATCGATATGAAAATAAAGGCTACCTTGTTTTATGGAGAAAACATAATTCAATGTAGTCCAAGATCGACTTTTTATGGTTTAGGTGAAAATAATTGTAGAGAAATATATTATCATTTTTATGTTATCCAACCCATTTTTTTCTAATGTTAAACATAAAATATTTTTATGGCCTGTTATTTGATTCATATGTGCATCAATTCATTTGATTTGAGTTATTGCTTGAATACTGCATATCTTCCCCAATAAAACATAGTTTAAAATATTTTTCCAGGAAATTAAATGCTAATATACTGAAGCTTTTGATTGATTGTTTTCAAACATAGAAAAGGTGAAAACAAAAATCCATCTTTCTTGATTCTGAAAAGGGAAGTTATAATAATGAACACAACATACACATAATGGTATTAAAAAGCAGAATGCTAGAAATCTTGTCTGAGGATAAAGACCTCTCCATGAATATGGATAATCATAATTACCTGGCTGTTCAATAGCAGAGTTACATGAATACTAAGGGAAGGTGATTAGAGCTAGTTCTGCCATGAGTAAAAAGCTTTTTTCTGTAAGTTGCTTCACATGATAGTCTGTTTAGTTAATCAATATATTAGTGGTTTCAAAAAAACAGTTTCCACAGTTCCAAAGTCCAGATATTATTCATATTCTGTAGTGAGTTTACGATTGAGATAGTCTTAAAAGCATAAGACAAATGTACCTGAATAACTAGGTATCTTTGAGGGTCTCGAGCCATCCTTGAAAATTCAGCAGCCAGTTCCTTGAATTTAGGTCTACTGTCAGCATCGATCATCCAACCTGGAAATTTACACACCATAAAAATGTTGCCGTATCCATAATTAGTAAAAAGAAGTGAGTTTTAAATTTTGTGAAAATATAGGCTAAAGTGTGAGAAAATATTAATAGTAATGATCTGAAAAACAAAGAAAGCTAATGAAAGAAACAATCCAACAAGTAAGGCTCTATCTCAATTTGTTGATATTTATAACTAAATGTAATATTCTATGAAATAATGTATAAAATTTGTATTTTGTTAGTCTGATTTAAATTTTTTTTTTCCTAGAAAATAGAACCTAAGCTAAATATGGGAACTTACAGAATCTCAAATCTTTAAATTGTCTTTGATGGTTATAGATGAAGTGGTTGGACTATAATTTATTTTTTTGTATCAGGAGTGACATGGGAGAAAAGATTTAGTCAAAATGCTGTGCACTGGCACAAGTGGGATAAAAAGGAATAGAAAACAACTTTCTCATGCTACTTCTTTCCTGTGGAAATTTAAAAAAAAAAAAAAAAAACCCCAAAAACAAATACAAAGTATTCAGTGATGTTTGTTCAGCAATAGCCATTAGTTTATCTTAGTACTAGCCTTTCCAGCACAAAAATACTATCAACAATTTTTCAAGGTATGTATTATTCTTTAGCTGGGAGTCTAGATAAAGTGGACCTTATCTCTGTTTAGTTGATGAGATATAAGAATAAAAGCACCCAGTTTTCCATGATTTCCTTGCTTTTCCTTAAGTATTAAAACCCTGAATTAAAAAAAAAAAAAAGTAAATCTATCTATCAGGTAAAGTTTTTCCCGGTTTTACATCATTTCATCAGTGTCTAAATTATCTCCTGTGCTGGTTACAGGATCAAATTGCATAATACATGCATGTTTTTAAACATTCTTCATAGATATCAACCAACAAAGTTTGATCAAGTAAAGCTATAAATCTTGTTTTTCCCTTCTCTGGGAGTTAAATTTTTATTCCTGTTCTGAAAATTCTTTGGGTGTCATTTTATGTATTATTAATGTCACCTGTATTTTTCTCTCCTAACAAAGCTCTAATGTTCTATATTCTATTTGTATTCATTTTTTTAAAAAAATGCTTGTTCATGCCAAGATGCTAATGAGAAAATAGGTGTTTCTAGAATTATTGCAGCCAAAAAAGGTTAACTTTGCAGTGAGGTATTGGTTTCTTTCTAACTAAATATTAGGTAAATAGAACTATGCTTAAAGAAAAGGGCATTCTGCCCGGCACTGCAAAGAACATTTTTTATTTCTTCTCTCACTGTCAGAATGTATCACACATGTCATGAATATAAATCTGAGCAGACCTGGGTCCAAAGTCTCTTATTAATAAGATGCTTATTCACCTTCACCAGTTTGTTTCTTTGCTCACCCTGTGTAAATCAAAAGGAGAAAACCCTGGATTATACAAGAGAGATTGCCGCCTGTTAATCTCACTTAATTTAAATCAGAAACTCCAGAGACTTCTCTAATTCTGCATAAATTAAGGGCCTAGGCTTCCAAAACACATTTGCAATACATGTGTGTCTGGAGCACAGGACGAGGAAAGACAAGTAAGAGAGCCTGATGGAAACAAATAATCAAATTGAAAAAAGTAAACATTCATAACTTTTTAGTGCAACGTAGATTCATTTCTTCCCACTTCCTACCCTACTCTGCTACTTTCCTCTTGACAAAACTGGTAAACCTATTTTTATTTAATTCATTTTTAAGCTATCAGTTTCAAGCTTGCTTTCTTTATGTTTAGATCATTTATTTAGTCTGATATTTTCCCATAAAGATTGCTACATTATTATTACCATTAATGTTAGCAATAACATTAATGTGACTAATTATATGTCTTTATGACAGACAATTTGATTGTCATGGAAATTATAAGAAGAGTAAGAGTCATATAATTTTTACTTCATAGCATGGAAGCGTAATATTACTTTATATTAATAATAATAATAACAAATAGGTGTTTACATGCTCCTTTCATAATTATTTTTGAACCGTTATATTTTTCAATATAGAGAAACATTATGTGAGTAGAATAATCTGTACTACTACTAGGAATGATGACGGTGATTATAAAATAATTTTGCAATCTTACATTTGACCATGACCATGTAAACATCAATAGTGCAGATGGGAGGCTGAGGCAAACGTTCTCCTTTCTCTAATAAATCAGGGATTTCTCGGGTTGGAATTCCATCATAGGGTTTTCCTCCAAAGGTCATCAGTTCCCATATAGTGACTCCTAAATAGAAGATCAAATTCTTCCATAAGCATGTTAACAACATATTTTGAACAAACTGGCAATATGCCAGTGTCAAAAGAATGTGTCTTAAAGACCAATCAAAACAGAACCTAAAAACAGGCTTTTCAGATTTGTATATCCATTCTGAGAACCCCAAATGCCAAAATCTTTGTGGGAGAATTCAATTCTAGTATTATTGTATTGGAATTCTTGGTGAGTAGCAGAAACAATTTATAGTGGACATCAGAATACAGAATCTGTTCCCTATTTCTAATTATAAGTAATGCTAATGTTTGCTGATCGAAGTTATGTTTCATTACAACACATTACAGCCCATAAAACAATTAATTTACTATATTACATGTATTCAGCACCAAATTAATATGATTGCAGGTAAAATCTGACAGGAATAATACTGAGATTACTATCTTTGCTATAAAGTTTCTAAGAGGATAAACTGGGGTTCCAGAATGATTTCCTTATGTTATGGTAAAGAATCACGGCTCTCTTTTTAACTAACAGAAAGAAAACAGATGGAATAAAACAGATTTATTTGTTTAGCATGCATGAGAGCCTGAGTGAGGAAAGAGCCATATGTAAGACATCAGACATGTGAAGTAGACATCCATAGCACTGTAGGGAATCAAGAATGGTGTTTCCTAGGTAATGAAATCACTTTGAGTCCCTAGAACACTGATTTCCTCTGAAAAAGTAAATACCTTAAATGTTAGTCTGCAAAAGTCAGTTTTGATAAAAAGTAATGATTCTGATTTAGACAATACTATGCACACTATAAATCTCTTTATTATATAATAATTACATAACTAAAAAGTTACATGTTTCTTAAGAATAAAGATTTTAAAGTTCAAAAATAGCCAGCTGGGCACAAAGGTACTACAAATGAAATTTGGGTGATACATATATACAGACATCTTTTAACATAAAATCCATCAATTAGGACTAGTTTTTCTTATCCACTGCCATCTGTAATGAATTATTTGTTCAAACTGAAGTCTTTTCTTAGTCTATAACAGTTATCATTGCCTGGTAATAAAAATGCAAAGCTTAAAATATGAAAGTATGTGTGAACTTCAAATTATCTTTCATAATAAAATTATTAACTACTATCTGATTTTTTTGGTTAATATTGACACCTTTTGATTTTTTTGGTATAACGTAAACATGTAACTAGTGACAAAATTTAACTGGTTGATCCTTATTAAATCCTTACTGTTGTATAGTAAGGAAAGGCTCCATAGAGACAAAAAGTAAAATTCAGTGTCCATGAGGCAGGCTGGAACAAGCTGAGAAGTAGATGACTGTCCATTTCTCATTGTCACTTATAGACTATAAATTTAATGAGGACATTTTACTGACTTATGTAGGCAGTAATAAAAGAAAGAATGGATGCTCTTACTTCTCTCTCAGAACTTCCAATATAAGCAAGATACATGTAAAGCAATTACAAATCAAAATAACAGAAAATATAATCAACAGAAGCATATAAATAAAAAAACAAAAGCTGAAACATCAAATCCCTCACTTCTTCCAATATTACTCCAATTATATCTTTGCAAGGGTGATGACAAGATAGGGCTAAACAATGATGGTTTCATGTAAAAGGACAATCCCAGAAAAATTAAATCCAAAACATCCTGAAAATTTACACTGTAATTCTGTCATCTGAAGGGGTATATCATAGCTGATGCATATTTATTTACATAAAAATAACGATGCAGCCAGTGATACTTTTCCAAAAAGTGCACTGTAAACAAGATTATGTAGCTTTCTCTGCCTTTTATGCCTTTTGCAATCAACTATGATATACCATAAAATTCTTAAAATGCCTTAGAAGTATGGGTTGATGACCTGGGCTGTGTTTCAAAACAGAGTACCGTCTATCCCTATCTATCTACCTTCTATTTATTTTCACTGAACAGCTCCTGGGATTTTGCGCATCATTACGAAAAAAAAAAAAAATTATAGCCTGAGTAACAGAATTTTCCTCCAAAGGCAAACTTTACCATTAAACGTATGACTGTTCTGCCAACATTTATATATAGTTATTTATTTACTTGACATCATTTAAGTTTGCCTGCAGAAGATTGTCACATCTATTTTAGAGAAACATAAGTAGAAAAAAGAAAAAGAAAAAAATTAAGTATATATTTATTAAAAACATATCAAATTGTTACTGATAATATATAAATCTGTCATAATATATGCAATATATAAATTTATCTATATCATATATTATGAGGGTACCACAAAAAGTTTATGGAAAGATTTGTTCTATCTTCCAATTGTATTTTTTCATTTACTTTTTGAAGTACCCTCATATATATACTAATTTATATTATGTAATATAGAAATTCTAATCCACATGCTAATCTGAATCGTATCATATATAAAACTATCACATACATGGTAGATTTGTTTTCTTTTTAATACTTCCTGTAGATTAACAACTAACTTTTGTCAAGCATTCCTCCTGTATTTGTCTAAACCTCAAACACATGACATTTTCTGCTTCTAAAATGAATAGAATTCATGAGGCCTTCATGGAAATTTTAACACCTCTTTTGGCACACACATGTGGGGGGGAAACCCACCTTATTAAAATGTCAAATAATTTTTTAAAATATATTAATTCTTTCCAAGATAAGAAGTATAAGTTTGGATTGCTTAAATTTTTTTCTAAGAATTAAAAAAAAAAAAAAGGTAAAACTAAGCTTAAATTTGAGTAAAATAAATTGTGCCATACTTTTAAATCCCACTACCACCCTTTTTAGTTAAACAGGCATTGTACTCTTTATTTGTAAGACATGCTAGTTTTATATGGTATATTTAAACTTAGAAAAGGCGTTGACTCTTTTTGCTAATACTAGACTTGAGAAGTAGCCAGACATAATGGTAAATAGCCCATCTCGATAATTGAGTAAAACACAGTAAAATAAATTTTCTAATTATAAATATCACTCTTTTCTCGTTCATAACATTCACTCTCTAACATTTCCAAAAGTAGTCTGTAAATCAAAATTAAAGTTGCAATTAGCAGTCTTTCCTCTTCCCTCTGCCCTCTTGTTCACCACTGTCACTACTTTCAGTAATTATTCTTTCTCATGACAATAATCTCCATTTTCTACTGCAGAACAGAAATTCCCATAACCAAAACAAACAAAGTTACTTTTATTTTTGTTTTTTAACATTCATTGTATTTGGAGATATGTTTTCAAAGAATAGTTAAAAATTAAGGCTGTGAGATTTTTCTGAAATTGTCCCTAAACTAAAATTGGCTGTTTTTTTTCTATCCATATCATCAGACAAGTTGCTACCAAACAGAGCTTATGGCAAACAATTCAGCAGAGATATTAGAATACTACATTTTAAAGAATGAGGAATAACAAAAAGGACAGTTAACAATGCTATTTAGAGTGTTTTTCTTTTGTTTTTAAATGAGAGAGTAAGAGTTAATTCCTTTAGGAAATGAGGTACATAAATCGGTATTTCTAACATAATAAAGTAATTCTGATTAAGACATTTTACATGAATTTAACATTTATTTTTGCCTTAAAAGCTGTAATTCACAAGGAAGATTTATTTACCATAGCTCCAAACGTCACTTTGATGTGTGAATTTCCTATAATGAATACACTCCAGAGCCATCCATTTAATTGGCATCTATAGAGAAATAAAAAGTAAAAGTTTTATAATTACATAACAAGTCATTTTTATATTTATTTCTTAAATGCAAGTCATTGGACTGGCCCCAATTATATTTTTACACTGTGTGTGAATAGATATATTTTTCAATATAAGAAAAAAATGAATTGAAATTTATAAAATTCATAAAGTGAATTAATTTAAAACTATACTTTTTTTAAAAAAAAAAGCTTCATAAACAGTGAAAATTAAAATAATAAAATAGTTCTATAGTTCTTAATGTTTAGTAATTAAGTTACTAGTTAATGTTATGACTGATACTATCAAATTTAAACATTTAATGCACATGTTTCTAAAACTGTGTTCATACTATATTTTTTTCAAGAAAATGAGATTCCTTACATTTTCAGTTATCCCTTTTCACCTCAGACACGTTTTGGTCAACTAGTATAATGCATTCTTTCTACACTTGCCCCCACCCTTCTCCTCTCATATGATTGGTCACTAAAATGCCCCAAATTATGGATTCCAAAGTTAGCATTGCTTTGTTCCCCAGCCACAAATGACCTCCCTCATCTTGGTTAGCCAGTATTGAAAACATGTACCATTTTAAAAATAGGAACTATATAAAAGAATGTGAGAGAATCAGCACAAATCCATCATCAGTACAAGAAAAACAGTGCAACCCACATATTCTGCTGATGATGGGTCAGCAGAATGAGTTTCCCAGCATTATATAGCTGGGAATATAATTAGATTCTATGGAATAAAGATAAACACTTCTACTTTGCAGTTGAAAGCTTAAAACTAAATAGACCTTTGAAATCATGAGGTTGGCTGCTCACCAAGGTGACACCAAGGTAACTCTATGACAGAATCATGGTATTCAGTGAAAGGGAACAGAAGACACATTGAAAGCAATTTCCCTATGGGCAAGGAGTTAGCAGACTTTATGAACTACGGACATTGTGCTAAAGAAGTAAGTTTAAATCACAGTTGGCTTGATAAAGACTTAATGGTTGCCAGGCATTTAAAGCTATAATGAATCTTGCTTTAGACAAATCTTATGCCTCAAATCTTATGTTCTCAAGACAAGTGAAGTTATGTGATTTATAGACTTCTACCTCTGTGCAATCTTGTTGTGAATTTCAAAGCTGTGGTCTCAAACTACTGCAATTTGGTAGTAAACAGGCAAAATAGGTGAATAAAATCAAGGAAAGGTCAGATAATTCCTCAAAACTGAAGTTCTTTTTTTTTTTTTTTTTAATATGTCTGTGTTGTTTTACCTTTCAATAAGATTTGGATATGGGCAGTTATATAAGAGTTTAGGATAAAAATCAATGTTAAGCATTTGGAAGCCAATCATTGCAAAGTATTTGTAATATACAAGAGTATTGGGACACCCATGACAAGATACTTAATACACATATGTATATGACATGTGAATAACTATTTTTTGTTAGTGTGAGCTTATAGGTAGGCAGGAATGGAAAACTTAATGAGGAAATACAAGAGCTGGAACTAAGGCATGGGCTGAGACCATATGCAGAGCGGGAGAGGCAGGAACACATTTGTTGCAGGGGCGGAGGATGGAGAGGTAGAAAAGGTAGACAAGGCAGTGACTCTGTTTAGAACTCTGGGACAGAGCACTTACATTCTAGTTGAGGGAGTCAGATAACAAATACTGTAGGTAAATTATACACTATGATAGAAGCTAAAAACAAAACAAAACAAAACAAAAAGCCAGATAAGAGGAATTTGTTGTATCTGGTGCAGGGGGATTAGTAGTTAAATTGGGAGCATCCTACCAATGAATCATAGCCAAGCTTCTCTATAGTCTATGAGAGAGGAGTTGTGTCTCTCTGGAGATCTTGTATTAAAGTTTAATTTCCAGAGTCCCTGAGGATTCATTTACTTCCCATCACTGGAGCTAACATGAAGACCACCCAGGTCCAGACATGCATCACCTTCTTTTAGCTGCTTTTGAGAAATGAAAGCTCTTATATATGCTATATTTTTTGACCCTGGGCAGGAGAAAAGGCAAATGGTAGAAGGTTTATAATCTTCTAAACTTTAGGTGTATTGGTTTCTTCCTACAAAATATAAGGATGTAAATGGATATTACTCTATATTTTCAAGCAATATTGCTCTCAAAAAGATACCCACCTTTCCTCCATCGGCATTGTATTCTTTTTCATCTCCTTCCAAGAGTCTGGCTAGTCCAAAATCTGTGATTTTCACATGGTTTGGAGATTTCACTAAGACATTACGGGCTGCCAAATCCCGATGAACAAGCCGTCTTTCTTCCAGGTACATCATTCCCTGAAAAACACCAAGTTCTTCAGTGACTGTTAATGCCTAGGTTTTTTTTTTTTTTTTTTCATATTCTAAAAAAGGAGTCTCTTAGCATTCAGCTGAAAGTGCTTGCTTTCTTTAAGTGAAGCCAGAATCCTGGAATACTTTCAAAATTAGAGAGAACCTTGGGCATGGGGAGCAAATCACAAATAGATTTTGTCCTTTTTCCCTTAAAGTCCTATAAATAAGAATGAATTATCTGCTCATGAGCTAAATGTTATATTATTTTTTCCCAGAGACTTGATATCCTCCTGCAAACATTTTCATTAGTGAGATATGCAGGTTTCTTAGTGCACATACTTGGATTGACCCACAGAATCCTAATCATTTTATTCTCAGTAAATTCTGCTTCATATCAACTTCCCCTTGCATACCCACTCCAAACAAATACACCTAACATTAATTTTAAAAAATATTTCATTTGAGTTTTAATGGTGCCCAAATTACCATCATAGAGTCTATCAAGGCTGAAGACATATTACTTTAGTAATTATGTACAAAATGTAGTATGCCCTAGGGGCCTTAAAAGCCTATAATTCTTAAAAAGGCTTTTATCACGTTAGTAGTCATAAGAACCCACAAGTGAAATTACATAGTTTATAATGACCTCCAAATTAGTCTTTAATATGTTGTCTTCATAAAACATATAAGGAGATTAAAAATAAAATTTATTGCTGATCGCAACAAGAGATATAGCTGAATCTCTCCAGCAATATATACACATACAAACACACATACATGTATATATTATATATTAATATCTACACATTTTCAAAAATAATCTGTAGAAATAATAATTATTTTGTTAATTGTACTTCAGCAGTAGGGAAGCTAAGAGAATGTTGGCAACAGGTTAATGTTTAGATCCACACACAATTACAGAACACATACAATGTTCTGAGCACTGTGCTAGACATTGGTGAGACAAAAAAGTCTCAGATAAGGTCTGTGCATTAAAGGAGGACAGGAGCTAATCAATCAAGTGGGCAGATATGGAATAATAAACACTATCCTTAACTAAATAAATTAGTAAACATACCGTCTGCTAAAAGGTTTATGTAAAACCAAGGAAATAAGCTCAGATGCCTGTATAAATTAGAGTGGACATACTTTAATGATGAATTATGAGAAATTCTGTATTTGGTGATTTTGGTGGTAAAAAAGTCATCATTCAAAAACAAATCAGAATTATTAAAAAAAGGCTGAAGCATACTTTCACACCAGTTGCAAATCAATACTGCTGACAGTTAACATTACAACTGCAGGACTTTGAAGGATTAATGGTTTCTGATATCAAAACAAAAGCTGTAGAAAACAGACACATAAATCACACAGGTCAAAAAATTATGAACCGTATACCCAGTGTAATATAAAGAGAAGATTGCTTCAAACAGCATCATGAGCCAAACTCCATATAAATACCCATTAAGTACAACTAGTGGAGATACTGCCTGATATGGTTCAATCAGTCAGCAGTTGGGTGACACTGTATGTATTAATGTTTTCTGAAATCAACCACAACTCGGATTTATGGTATTTTTGCCTTCTTTCCTAACCGATGCTTTCTGTTTGAGTACATCAAATTTGAAATTCCTGGAATAAGGTGATTCTGAAACACATAGCCCTTATATGACTTAAAGGATCAAAAAATAAACTTATTGCTTTGGTGATAAAGTATTTTCATGTCTCCTAAAATAATTTTGTCCCTGTAAGAAATGTCCACAAAAACATTCATTATTCTCTTTCTTACCACCTTCATATCAGAAAAAGGAAAGCACGTTGGCAACAGATTAATATTTATGTTCACACACAATTATAGAACACACACTGTGTGCTAGGAACTGTGTTAGACACTGGGGAGACAAAAAGACTCAGGTAAGGTCTGTGAATTAAAGGAAGACAGAAGCTAACCAATAAAGTGAGAAGATATAGAAGAAAAACTCAAATAGGTAGGTGTGATGCACGTGAGGCATTTAAAGAAAGTGGTAAGAGCATTCTGAGGCCCCTTGGTGGTATAGCCTAGCAAGTGTGCATGAGAGGAAAGACTTCAGAGGTACCAAGACCTAAGTAAGTCTTGAATGATGTCCACCAGTTGGACAGAAGAGGGAGAAATTGCAGGTGGAGAGAACAAACACAGGGTATCAGTAACATGGTGCACTCGGACAAAGGAACGTAATGATGTATTTCTGAAGTGGAATGCATGAAGGAGGGGCAGTGGTGAGCAGGGAGACTGAAAAAGTGAAAAGAAGCCAGAACCAAGAAGACTCCTTATAAGAGGTTACGTTAAAAAGTTTGTGGAAATATGGAATTAAAAGCTAATACAAATCTTTCCATGAACTTTTTGAGGACCCCTCATATGTCATGGCAGAGAATTTGGGCAGTATTCAATGTGGCAATGTGGAACTTGTTTTTAAGAAGGGAAGTAACACGATTATTGTTGGACTTCAAAACATCATTCTGGTGCCAGTACAACTGGACACAAATGTAGCTGAAAGCAGGAACTACTTCCATAATACAGATGGGAGGTGATGAAGATGTAAAATAAAGGTTGAAAATTGGCAGTCCATGAGCTAGATACGCTTTCCAGATTTTTTCCTTAGTTTGCAGACTGACCATCAGTTGATCTTTCTCTTTAGCTGAGTACCTACTATATTTTATTGAGGACAGCTGATCTCCAGTGTTCCAGCATCCCACCACTCACTATTATTTCCCAGGAATTCTGCTTTTATCATTTATGATACTCAGTTGAGTCCTACATGCATGAATGTCTGACTCTTCAAATAAATTAGGCCAGAAGGAATACCATGGAGAGGATTATTTCAAGGTATATTTTATAAAATAAAATAATCATTCTTGGTAACTGAATAATAAAGGACAGTAAATTGAGAGTTATTTTGGTTTTTTATTGACTTTTGTAATCTCGGTGGATAATGACTCCTTGAATTAAATATCATCCTAATATGAAATATCATTTATATATTTCTTAAACATGTGCAGGAATAGTGATATATACTTTACTAACAGAGAACTAACTCACATTCACCAAAAAACTTAAGGTTTGAATGTTCATGTCCCCTACAAATTCATATGTTGAAATTCTAACTCCCAAAGTGATGATATTATGAGGTGGTGACTTTGACAGTTGATTAAGTTATAAAGGCAGAGTCTCATGAGTGGTATTAGTGCCCTTATAAAAAAGACCCCAGAGAAATCTCTCATTTTTTCATCCATGTGAGGTTATAGTGGCTATGAACAACCAGAAAGTATGTCCTCACCAGACAGAAAATTTGCTGGCACCCTAATTTTGGACTTCACACTCTCCAGAACCTAGAGAAATAAATTTCTGTTGTTTCTAAAATACCCAGTTTATGGCCTTTTGTTATAGCATCTTGAACAGACTAAGACACTCTAATGATGTGTTCTATAATAAAGCAAAACTCTTAGAACTCCAGAAGTTTTTTAAAGCCTCAGCAGGTGACAGACTATTCTGAAACTTAATACAATTTTTCCATAAAAAGTATTTTCTTCAAAAATAATGAGAACTCAATTTAGGAAATCAGGTGACAATCTCTCTATAAGTTTCCTCCACCTACCAGGCCATCATTAAAAGCAATAAAAACAAAAGCATCTATATAATTACCAAACCATCAAAATATATTTGTTTGGTTGCTTTGTAACAATGACACATCATTGTGCAGATGGATACTTTCAAATCATTAATGGTGACTGCCACCTTAGTCTTACTTTACACCCTGAATTAGTGTTGAATCATCTATGGATTGCTCACAATAGGTTTCTCTACATCACAGTCATTAAGATAGCATTATCTTATGGGAAGGTCTCATTAGAGTCACATTCTCTGCTAGATTCCTTCAAAATGAAGTGTGGTGCAACTAAGGAGGCAGACAGTTATTAGAAATAGAAGTGACAAAATAAAACTGAATGAAGTCCCTAGAAGTTTGAAGATGAATAAAGGGGGTCATTTGTGATGACAGAGGGTATTGCATTGGTTGAAAAAGACACCTTCTACTCTGCTTGTAGCAACTCCCATATCCATGCAATGTCACCTCGGTGAAGTACATTATGGTAATGCTTACACCGACAACAATCACAGCTAACATTGACCCTGTACTTAGAACACATAAACATTAAAGTAAATGCATCTACATTGGTTGGTTAACCTAATCCTATGAGATGCACACTGTTTTCATCCCATTTTAAATATTAGAAACCGAAGGCTAAGAGAAGTCAAGTGACTTGCTCAAAATCATCTTGTTAATGAATGGTAGAAGTGGGATTTGATCCCTTGTTGTGGGATCCTAAAGTCTACACATTTAAGCTTATTCCCTCTCTTGACAGGTCACAGAATCATGTGGACATGTAGAAATTTATGTACATGGTGAAGTTATATAGCTTTAACATATCCTAGTAATGAAAAAAATATTATCAGATATTTCTGTGAATTTCAGGATATAATGCAGGTGATTGACATATTTTTAAATTTATATTTAAAATCCAGAGAAATACCGCATGTCCTCACTCTAAGTGGGAGCTAAGGAAGGAAGGAAGGAAGGAAGAGATGGGGGAAGGAAGGAAGGAAGGGAAAGAAAGGAAGACCACAATAATACATTAAACTTTCAGAAGGAGAGAACAGAACTATGACTACTAGAGGGGGGAAGGGAGAGGAGAAGGAAGGTTAGGGAGAAATTGGGTCCTGGACACAAAGAATAATTATGATTTATAACGATGAACATGCTAATAATACTGGTTTGATCATCATGTATTGGACACAAATACTGAGAGTCAACTCTGTATCCCACAAATATGCAATTATGTTTCAATTAAAACACAAGTAATAAATAAATAAATAAAATCCAGCTAAACTATAGTACCTTTTGTAGTTTAGCAGATTTTAATTGTGTAATTTGGAGACTCCTTTCTTGCTTTGGCCACAAGTTATGCACAAT